GCAATAGCCTTCATACTTTTGTATATTTATACAAAGTCAGCTTATTGCCCCCACAAACTGGGTCCTCATTTAATCTACCTTAGAAAGGATGGAAGGCTGAGTCAACCTTGAGCCTGGTAAGATTCGAACCTGCAGAAATTGCAGGCAGCTGTGTTAATAACACGGTGCATTAAACCACTGTACTACCAAGGCTCCAAGCTTACTACCAAGGGTTGTAAGCTGGACTGACAAATAAATATCCATACACTCTAGAATATTGCAAAGTCAGATGACTTATATTGTTGCCAAGAACCTGACAAAGACAGCTGAGCCCAACTCAAAGGCAATTTTACAGGGCTACCAGATTTGGACTACAAAACTCCAGACAACCACTAGATAGGCAACACAGAAATAAAGAAAATCTTTTTGTTGTCATTTCATGATCATCCAGGTTGTTGCAGACTAGATCTTGAGCTTTTAGTGAAAGGACAACAAATGAAAATTAATTTATTGAATCAGTTTCAGTATGTGATTCTGGCTGGTGGGCAATAACAAAATAAAAATAAAAATCACAACAAATGCAAAAATTAAAATACATAGCAGTCGAGGAAGTATTACAGCCCAATCACTAACATATCCAAGAGATAGGTCTCTTCACATATTTAGAACTCCAGAGCTGGCTATAGAACCAGCTTTTTAAGGCTGTGTAAAAGGCTAACAGGGCTTGGCCCATCCTGATCATCAGAGAGAGAATATCCCAACAATGGACCAGCAGAAAAGGCATGCCTTCCAGGCCATACATACTGGCATTCCTTAATCGATGGGCCAGGTTTGGATGGGTAGAAACCAGTGGTGGGTTGCTCCCGGTTCGGCCCAGTTCGGGCGAGCTGGTAGTGGTGATGATGTGATGTCAGCAAACTGGTTCTCTATAACTGTGAGCTGGGCCCTCCCGCCCACCCCTGCGTTATACCTACCTTTATTTATCATTATTTAGCCCAGCTGATAGGTGCAGCAGAGTGGATTGCTGCACCTCAGCTGGGCAGAAATCTAATGTACAAGTTCGGCCCGCATGTGAGCGAATTTGCGCAATTGCACGCAAAGGGCATGCACGAAGAGAACTGGTGGTAACACAGGTTGGAACCCACCACTGGTCGAAACAACCAACATCTGACTGGATTGGATGGGTAGAAACAACCAGACTGAGACAATCCCTCAAGTAACCCAATCCGAAGCCATGAAGGGCTCTAAGAAGTCTAACCAACACCTTGAATTGCAGTCATAAGCACAATGGCCACCAATCCAGCTCATGAAGTAGTGATGTTATATGTGCCAGGTATCCAACACCTACATGTAGAGCGAATTGCAGTAGTCTAGACAGGAGGTCACAAGGTCACATGAGTGATACTGAGCAGAGCCTCCTAATCCAGGATTGGCCACAACTGATGCACAATCTGAAATTGTATAAAGGCCCTGCTAACCATGGCTACCACTTGCTCTTCAAGCAGGAGCCCAGATTGTGCACTGACACCATCATCATCTAGATCAGTGTTTCTCAACCTTGGTCACCTGAAGATGCATGGACTTCAACTCCCAGAATTCCCCAGCCAGCAGAGCCCACGCATCTTCAGGTGGCCAAGGTTGAGAAACACTGATCTAGATAATAGGATGTCATCCTATTTTGTCTTGCATAAATAAATGCAGCTTTTATTCATGGGTTTCATTTGGTGGTCTACCACAAACTCATGATTCATCGAACTCTTAAAAAGAGAGTGTATCCTAGTAGGATCCTAGTAGGAGAGAAATTCAACAGCAAACTCAATGAGTTTTGTACACAGTATGACTAGATGTAAGGGAAGACAGGGCAATTTCCTAATTGTGTAGGTAAGAACATTTTAGCTGATACCACCAGTAGAACAACCAATTATTAAAAATATATGACCTCTAGCCTTTTATGCATCTAGCCATACTGAATATAAATTAATTATATAAAAGAAATTAATTTAAAATTAATTAAAATTAAGGAAAAGTTGCATGAAAAAGTTTGTAATGAGAATCTTTTTTTAAAAAAATGACATTAAGATTATCCGGATGCGCAGGGAAACTTGCCGAGAGACTGTGCTAATGGGATTAACCAAAAAACACAATCCAAAAATGTATTGTTTTGGGATTGTGCTTTACCTCTCTTAAGAAATATAAAGATACATTGCTGCTTTATAAATGTATATTTTAAAGGTTACAATATGATCTTTATATAGTATAAGTACCACCAAAAGCACTACAGTAATCATTACATTAATTCATTGAATTAATTCTTGAGCATTTGTCTTTTGAAAACATCATTTTCAGAATTGATTTTTATTTTACACATTTATTATTGCAAATATAATAACATCTAATATCAAATATATGAGATAGTTAGAAATATCTTCTGGCTATTCTGTGGATTTACTCGTTCATATATTTATATTCCATTCTGGGGTCCTAAAAATCATTCCTGTCGCATCTCACATAATAAACCGAATCAAAAACAAGTCAAATGCAACAAAACTGAAAACTAAATACAGTATACAGTACAATCTAGTCTTTGGGGGCCTCTGAAGATGTTGCATTTCAACTCACATAACTACCAGATAATAAGTCCAAGACCACTTAGGCTAAGAACTGGGTGCATTAATACCCTATACATCTGGAGAATTATTGATTGGGGAAAGCTGGCATGATCTACCTGTACACAAAAGAATGCTGCATGGGGCTAGCAATTGAGCCTTCAACTCAGTGGTGAAATCCAATTTTTTTTACTACCGGTTCTGTGGGCGTGGCTTGGTCGGCATGGTGTGGCTTAGTGGGCGTGGTGTGGCTTGGTGGGCGTGGCAGGGGAAGGATACTGCAAAAATCTCCATTCCCACCCCACTCTGGGGCCAGCCAGAGGTTGTATTTGCCAGTTCTCTGAACTACTCAAAATTTCTGCTACCGGTTCTCCAGAACCTGTCAGTACCTGCTGGATTTCACCTCTGCTTCAACTGATGGAATGGTACATCAAAATCCAGAGATGAAAACTGCTAGTAGCTGAGAACTGAAGTGCCTAACAATTTGCCTGCCTGTCTTCATTACTTATCCCATTTCTCTTCTCTTTCTCCATACTTAAAATTGAACCTGGAGAAATATTACTCAGCTTAAACAAAAATGCATGTGCTATCCAAAACCCAATGCTTTTCTATCAGAAACAGCATTGCTGATATTATGTTATTTTTCCTTGTCTCATTCGTCCATAAATCACATTTATAGGTTCCCCAAATCACAGCAATTCTGCAGGGCACGGATTTGTAAGACGAAAGTGGGCTAGAGAGAAATTTTTCATTCTGAAAACTTCAGAAATCAGGTTCATCAAATAAGATTAAGTGAAAGTAGATTTGGGCAGCTGGCTGCTAGTGGTTTTTCGAATAACATATAACAAACTTACACAATTTATTGTTAGAGAAGATATCATTATGGTAATCACATTAAGTAGCATAGATAATTTGAAAAGGTGGGTTTAGCCAGTTCATCTACAGTTATTAATCATGGGGTAAGCAGTGCCTCTATATGCAAAAGTTGAATGGCAGGAATCGAACATTGTGCAAATAAATCACACAGGACAACTCTTGCCTCTGTGTTCTCTTGTGGGTTTCCCAAAGGCATTTGGCTGGCCACTGATGGAAACAAAATGCTGAACTAAAAGGGTTCCTGATCTGATCTTGCATGGCTCTACACACACATACACACCCCACAGCTGATGTGCCTCCATACAGGAACTCTGAAATGCGGGGAGTCAGTACTCAGAAAAGATTTCTGTCTCTTAAGCTTCCTTGATTGCTCTTTAAGAAACTAAGCAGTAAATGGATAAGGAAAAGACACCTAAGTATAGAGCTCTGGCAAAACCCCAAAGCTAGAATCTGTGCTTGGTAATATTAATGGAAATGATGAGGCTGTCTCTGGGGAGTAGATGCCATTTTCATTTACTGAGGGATCAGGAGTCATTATGCTTTCTTGGTTTTTTAAAAAGTCAATCTATGCTCCAGTATATGAATGTTAAGGCCCCATCAAAAATAATGATTGGATTTATTATTTTGAGGAGTACTTTGTACTGTGCCTTCTTAAATGTTTGTTTTGATGTTGCTTTCATTACTCTTTGTCCCTTTTATATGGGTAAGCTCCCTTGGGAGAGCTTTTCACCATAAATGTAGGCCAGAAATATTTTAAATAAATGAAAATGTCATCTCTTATTATTGGACTCTTTTGAAAAAAATGCTTCCTGATTCTTCTTGGATCGTCAAGAATGTTAGAACTGAACTTCTATCTGGCAGGCGGCTGGTATGGATGCACTTTATAAAAACATGAAACCCAAAAATTACTTATTCTCCTCTCAATAGCTGTCAAAAAGAAATAGAAAGTATAACCATTAAAAGTAGTTATGTCAGAATCTGAATTATCATATTAATCTGGCATACTAACAAAAGGCTCCTAAATTCAACTACTTTGAAAAAACATCTGCTTTCCCCCCCAAAATATGATGACAATCTCAGATGTTTCTAAACAGTTTAGAAACATCTATGTTTCTAAATAGTTTTCAAATATGTTTTCATTTTAAAGAATCCAAATATGGAAGTTAATTTATAAGACTGTCAACCCCAATAATACAGAAATAACCATATGTTGAAAAATGTAAGTGTTTGTTTGGCTCTGTGCAACAAAACAAAGGCATGAAAAGAAAAGATGCACCATTTCAAAGTAATCAACTTTCCTCAGTATATAGATGATACAACCAATTGCAACAGAGAAGTCTCCCTGCAATTCACCATGAAGATTTTGGCATATTTGGGGTCCCCGAAAATGTACCTTTTCCCCCAGGCTGTGCAATCCTTCCAATTCTCTGCCAGTTCTCCCTCACCATCTTCCTGTCTGGCATAATCTTCCAACTCTGCTGCAGGTCTTGCCACAATAAGATAGAAGTGAACAGTATCTTAAAGCTCTTTATTTCTTACCTGGCTCTGTGCAGTTCTTTTTGTGTGACTCATTATGTGATGCCATCAATTTTCTATTCCTCCATAATTCTGACAGAACACTTTGGTTGACAACAGCCGACTCTTGTCCTGCACAAAGACAAGACACTGTATTTGTAAGGGCAAAAAGGACTTTGGGTTATCCATATATATAATTCTTTCCATTAGAAAACCATAATTTGAGATTAAAATGGGAGCTGCCTCCTACTGAATCAAACCATTAATACATCTATCAGCGTGAATTCTCCACCATATTAGCTGGAAAGGAGTCTCTGATAATTTTTTTTGACACATATAAATTATATATGGACTGATGCATAAAAGAGAAAAATCCCAGACAAGAGGGGGGTGATAAGGAAGAAAGACAAGTGGTTACAGTATTGGCTACAGAAATCAGGATGTGCAATGGAGGTTTTTTTTGTGACCTCGTACTAATAGAATATAGAATATTCTTAATTGGCCAAATGTGATCAGACACACAAGGAATTTGTCTCTGGTGCATAAGCTCTCAGTATACACACATAAGATACAAAGCCCTTTCATAGAGTTGTGAAAAAGATATGGCCATTAATACTAATAATATGCAGAAAATTCCATCCTGATCATGTGAGTACTCAACATGTGAGTAATCATTTTAACTATGATGAGCAATAATGCAACATGGTAGACAAACATGGGACTATCTACAGCAGGACACACAGGCATAGAATCATAGAATCTCAGGATTAGATTCTATTCTAACCTGCTCAGGGCAGGAATCCAACAGACAAATGGCTGTTCAACCTTTGATTGAAAACCTCAGTGATGAGCTTTTTCCACTGCTCAACAGCTTTCACAGACAGGAGATTCCTCCTTATTTAGAGTTTTTATCTTTTTCTGTAAGGCTTCCACACCTATTGGCTCTTGTCCTACATTCAGGCACATCCTGCCTTCAGGCACTAAGAAGAATAAGTTCACACCCTTCTTCTGGGAACATAGTCCATGTTTTGGAAGGATACAGCTTCCAAAGACCTCGCCATCTTTGTTGCTATTCTTTGTATTCTTTCTGGTTCTTCAGCTTTCTTTTTGTATTATAGCAACCAAACCCGGATACAACACAGGCAGTCCTCATTTATTGATAGTAATCGAGACTAGGAACTTCATCACTATGCAATGTGGTCATAAGGCATGATGTCATTTGATCACGCTGACTTATAACACCAGTTGTGTGAGTGCCATTTGTGATCTCCTGTCACTTTCCCCATTGATTTTGCTTGTCAGAAGGCAGCAGCGATGGTTGCAAAGGGCAATCACATGACCATGAAGCGGCTCAATGCCATCATTGCAAGTTGGTCACTCAGCGGCCAAATCATGATCATATGACAATGGAGATCCTGCAACAGCCACAAATATGAGGAGTCATCATAAATAAACCTCTTCCGGGCCAGAATTTTGAATGAGTGACCATTAAGCAAGGACTAGATTACTTACCTGTATTGCAGGTATGGACTGACTAGTATAGGGTAAAACCATCTCATGCTTAATCTGTAGTCTAAAGTTCCAGCCCCCTCTTTGAATACTATTGTTAAAACAGGTACTACGTACCTTGTACCTGTGCATCTGTACCTGTGCATCTGATTTTTCCTACCTAAATGCAGAACCTCACATTTCTCAACATCACAGTTTTTTGGATGATGTTCAAGACTATTGAGATCCTTTTGAACCTTGAGCCTTCTTCTGAGGTTAACAGCAATCCCCCCTTTCTTTGTGTCATCTGCAAATTTGTTGAGCATCCTTCTATTCCCTCATCTAAAACATTTACTGTATACAAATATTGAAGAGCCCTTAATAGCATTCCCAAAAAATCAGATATATAGTCCTCAATGACAGTGCCCAGGACAAACAAATTGGCAGAAAATAAGAACAATAACAACAAAAATAAAAGAATTTAAGAAATGGGAGGAAAATTAACATTTGCTTCATTATTCTGCTTCAGTTCAACAGCCAGGCCATACAGAAGTAATAAAACAATCTACACAAGACTTGTATTGTTCTCAGTTAATAGATGGTTACGTCAAGAATTTCTTTCAAGTGTACTATGCAGAGACAATTTCAAATAAGCCTTTATTCTAAAGATGCCCAGTAGGAACCTGCCATTTAAATTCTCATAGAAATGCTAGCTTTAGAAACAGAGTAATATAGGCCCCCTGGGCTCATTCATACAGGTCAGGCTTAGAAAATAAAATGGGGAAAGTTCATGAGGTGGGCTTAATACCTTGTAACTTGGCAAGCTTACAGTTATATAACTGAAAAAGCAAGATAAAAAATATCTGTAATGCAATGCATTTATCATGGAATCAAATACAGTATTAGAATCCATATCATTAGAGATTTTGTAGGGGTTAACTATATTTTTATTTCCATGACCTAAAACATTGTATAGAAATGCAAACATTGCAAGGATTTTATTAGATATATGAGTAGAGGATTAGATTTTTCCCTACACACTGCTGTTCATCATCTGTCCAGTAACCTCTAAAACAATTTGTAAAGCTTGCTTCTCTACAGGTATTTCCCCATGGCCTGTAAAGAGTTGGTTGGAATGAGCCACTAGGAACCATTGGCTTATGAATATGGAGAACTATGCATATGTATCCACATTAAATAAGACCGACAGGGCACTCATTCAAAGTTGGAACAAAAATACTGACTTTTTTTTTTAAAGGTGGTGATGGAATATCTGTATGTTGTTTCTTACACACTAATTTAGAATCAGTGCTGAATTCAAAAAATTCTCTAAAAAGGATTTTATGCTTTAATATTTGAGGCATGCTGGATGCTTATATAGTTTTGATCAGCTTTCTCCAGGATCCTCTACTAGGAACAATTCATATCTTCGTACCTTGAATTACTATACTATACTATACAGGTAGTCCTCGATTTACAACAGTTCATTTAGTGACTGTTCGAAGTTACAACGGCACTGAAAAAAGGTGACTTAGGTCCATTTTTCACAGTTACGACCTCTGCCGCATCCCCATAATATTAATTCAGATGCTTGGTAGTCGGTTCATATTTACGACTATTGCTGTGTCCCAAGGTCGTGCGATTCCCTTCTCACAAGCAAAGTCAATGGGGAAGCCAGATTCACTTAACCACCCAGTTACAAACTTATCAATGGCAGTGCACTTAACAACTGCATCAAGGAAAGTCGTAAAATGGGGCAAAACTCACCTAACAATTTTTTTTTTTAAATTTGATTTATATGCCGCCCTTCTCCGGAGACTCAGGGCGGCTTACAATGTGCTCAGCAATAGCCTTCATCCTTTTGTATATTTATACAAAGTCAGCTTATTGCCCCCACAACTGGGTCCTCAATTTACCTACCTTAGAAAGGATGGAAGGCTGAGTCAACCTTGAGCCTTGGCGAGATTCAAACCTGCAGTAATTGCAGGCAGCTGGTCTTAATAATCAGCTTAATAACAGGGTGCCTTAGACCACTGTACTACCAAGGCTCATGACATTTGCTGGCCAAGTGAGCGACCTCAACTACTGATAGCCTCATCTTGTGTGCTGGTAAAGCACAATCTCTGCTGACCTAGTCAGTTGGGAGCAACCATTTTCTAAATTCTCCCAGGATCTGGCCAAGGGGGTTGAGTGACTGCCATTTCTTTTGTTGTTGTTTTTGAATCAGAGCAATTTTTAAAGATCCACAGTGGTCTGCTGCATAGAGAGCCAAAGAGAGACCATTGAGAAGCATTAGGGGCAAATAAAACAAGTGTTAAGTCCAGAAAGGTAGGAGAGCTTTATAAAATGACTCAGACTAGCTCCCCCTTCTTGCCTTCCAGTCTCCTTGGTATAAGAGGGAAGGGAGGGAAAATACAAGCAGGCTTACAAGATTCTTTACTACATAGTAGCTTAACTCAGTATAGTTCTAGTCTTCTGGTAGAGTCTATTTTTTTGATGTGGACCATCTTCAAGGACTGACAGGTTATTTTTTACTAGTCCAAAATTGGTGAGACATGGTCAACCCCAATTATTTTATTCTGTTGTTTTACCCCATGCATGCTGTGGAACAGTAAAAAATAAGGCAACGACAGATATCTAATTCCTAGAAAAGTCTCCTTTTCATAGATCTATCTAGGATTTGGACTCAGATGGGGCAGATAATCCCTTGAGCTAAGATCGTGGGTTGTGGGAACAAGGCCAGTATGGCTTTTTAAAAACGTTCTTCTTTACTCTTAACAACTTCTTCATACAGTATGTGAGAGAGTAGAAATATGTCCCTAAGAATGAAATTAAAAACTGATTACTAAAATATCAGGAGACAGGTATAGAATCCCAGCATCTATCAAACAAAAAAGAAAAAAGAAGGAAGGAAGGAAGGAAGGAAGGAAGGAAGGAAGGAAGGAAGGAAAGTCCTCACAAATATTAATAAAGTTCACAATAGGTGAATCTAAATTCTGTAATGCAGTCATATTTCTATTTAAGTCCTCCACTTTTCTTTATATGGAAAAAGTTTCAGCATCAATATTTCTTAAATCCAGTGAAAATAACCAAGTAACCAAATAATGATGGGATGGTCAACTTCATTGAAACTCGAGACTGTTCTTTGTCTTTGTGCCTTAACTAAACATATCCATTTTTTTTATTTATTTATTTAATATAATTTATATGCCGCCCTATCTCCATAGGACTCAGGGCGGCTCACAAGAATTAAAACAAACCAATAAAAACATAAAATACATACATAAACAAATATTAAAACCCATTAAAATAATCGAAAACCCCCTCAGTCCAGGCTAGGCGCCGCGAACAGCCATGTTTTTAATTCGCGGCGGAAGGTGTGGAGCTCAGGAGCCAGCTGGAGCCCCAGGGGGAGTTGATTCCAAAGGGTGGGCACACCCACAGAGAAAGCTCTACCCCTGGGGGCTGCCAGCCGACATTGTCTAGTTGACGGTACCCGGAGCAGGCCCTCCCTGTGGGAACGCACCAGGCGATGGGAAGCTGTTGCTGGTTGCAGATGGTCCGCCAAGTATCCTGGGCCTAAGCCATGTAGAGCTTTATAGGTCATTACCAGCACCTTGAATCTCACCCGGAGGGCAACCAGCAACCAATGCAAGCCGCACAGGAGAGGTGTTACATGGGAGTATCGGGATTCTCCCATCCCAACCCGCGTGGCTGCATTCTGTACCAGCTGAAGCCTCCGAGTGGTCCTCAAGGGCAGCCCCATGTAGAGAGCATTACAGTAGTCAATATGGGAGGTGACTAGCTCATGAGCAACTGTGCCTAGGGCATCTCAGTCCAAATAGGGGCGCAACTGGCGCACCAGACGAATCTGGGCATATGCCCCCCGGTCACAGTTGTTATATGATCTTGTAGACTCAACCGCGAATCCAGGAGGACACCCAAGTTGCGTGCCCTGTCTACAGGGGGTAAGACTTCACCCCCTATAGCCAACAATGGAACCTCTCCGTCGGACCGAGATGCCAGTATCCACAGCCACTCAATCTTGGCAGGGTTGAGCCGAAGCCTGTTCCTCCCCATCCAGATCCACACCGCTTCCAGGCACTGGGACATTACGTCGAGGGCATCACTGGCTTGGTTCGGGGTGGATATAAAAAGCTGAGTATCATCAGCATACTGATGGTACCTCACCCCGAAACCACGGATGATCTCCCCCAGCAGTTTCATATAAATGCTGAACAGAAGGGGCAAGAGAATTGACCCCTGGGGCACCCCACAAGTAAGGGGCCTCATGGTCGATCTCTGCCCCCCTGCCAACACCGTTTGCATCCACCCCGAGAGGTAGGAGGAGAACCACCATAAAACGGTGCCTCCCACTCCCAACCCCTTGAGGCGCCGCAGCAAGATACCATGGTCGATGGTATCGAAAGCCGCCGAAAGATCCAACAGAACCAGAACAGAGGAATAACCTCTTTCCCGAACCCTCCAGAGATCATCCACCAGCGTGACCAATGCTGTCTCCGTGCTGTACCCAGGCCTGAAACCCGATTGGTATGGATCAAGGTCCTTTAACAATTATTTATGTTCCAGGTTCCTTCAATTAAACAATGTCATCCAGCAGCATCTACTCTCTGGAATGGGATTCTTCTAAGATCTGGATAGCTCCCACTCTGTTGTTGTTTAGAAGAGCATGATGACTTGACTCTTCAGCCAGGTCTTTGGCAAGGGACAGGGACCCACCTTTTCTCTTTCTTTTAGCCTTTTATTGATTGTTGTGCTGCTGGGATTCGGGCAGCATACACATTTAATAAATTATTATTTACACAACAATGGGAAATCACAGCTTCCAGTTCTTTAACTGGTGTTGAACTGGTGTTGGAACTGCCAAAAAAAGCCAACACAATCCTAGGCTCCATTAACAGAGGAATAGAATCAAGATCATGTGAAGTGTTAATACTGCTTTATAATGCCTAGGTAAGACCACAGTTGGAATACTGCCTCTAGTTTTGGTCGCCATAATGTAGAAAAAATGTTGAGACTCTAGAAAAGTGCGGAGAAGAGCAACAAAGATGATTAGTGGACTGGAGGCTAAAACATATAAAGAACGGTTGCTGGAATTGGATATGTCTAGTTTAATGAAAAGAAGAATTGGGATGACATGATAGCAGTGTTCCAATATCTCACGGGCTGCCACAAAGGACAGGGGGTCAACCTATTCTCCAAAGCACCTGAGGGTAGGACAAGAAGCAATGGATGGAAGCTAATCAAGGCGAGAACCAACCTAGAATTAAGGAGAAATTTCCTGACAGTTAGAAGAGTTAATCAATGGAAGAACTTGTCTCCAGAAGTTGTGGATGTTCCAACACTGGAAGTTTTTAAGAAGAGATTGGGCAACCATTCGTCTGAAATGGTATAGGATTTCTTGCCTGAACAGGGGGTTGCGCTAGAAGACCTCCAAGGTCCCTTCCAACTCTGTTATTATATTCTGTTCTGTTAAATCTGTCACATACGTTCATCCCAAGAACCTAGGATGTTGTAATGTATCAGCAGAGTATATGTGCAGTTTCTAACAGTGTGGCTTTTGTAATTGACAGATGGAAATTTGGCTAATGTAGATTGTCTAAATGCCATCCAAGAGCTTTTGGAATGGCATCCAGTGGGCTGATAATAACTATTAATAATATTATTATTTATGTGAGGCCACACTCCAGTGCAATATAACATGGAAGATCTTTTCCCGATAACCTGGAAAAATGTCTAGGCACTACCAACATGCTGTTCATTTTCTTCAGACTTAAAAGCTTTACTTCTCTAGCAAAGGTCTGGTATGAAGAGAAGCAGTGTGGCATTTAAGTTATACCACTGAGAACTGAGTAGTGAGTGATGCTTTCCAAAGAGAACTGGATTCATGGAATCAGTTGATCCACTTAATTTCCTTGTGAAAGGACTTTGGGGTTCTTGTTTGATCACGTGCCTAAGAGATGAGAATGTTGCATTATTTTTAGTTCACCCTTGTATAACATAAGCCAATACATCTTTACTGGGAAAACAGTTTTACTAGGTTTGACCGAGCATATTCCCTGGGATTGCAGCCTCAGCCTGCTCTGAATGACAGAAACCACAAAAAGTAGTTTATATTATTCAGTGACTACCTACACCACATTTTTTCCTAAGGCGGCTTTTGATGCTGTATTTTTTCCCCTCACCTATTATTAGTGAAATGATAATGGGAACCCTGGCTAGCCCAAGATAAGAAAAACTGTTAGTCTCAGCTGCACAGGTAATTCCTTTAATAGCCACCTGGCAGCGTAACAGTTGAGCAAAGTGGTGTTTCCTACTTCTTATTAGAGTGAAACCACTGTACCTGCCAATTCTCTTTTTAAAAAAAAAAAAAAAAGTCATTCCATTTGGTTTGTCCTCTTAACAGCCTCTTTTAATTTAGAAGGTTGGCCATAGTGCAGGGATATAATAACATATCCTTTAGAACATGACAGATCATCCTAGCTTCTCCTCTTGTAAACCCTCATCAAACTCCATAGAAGAGACATCAAAAGTCCATAGCTGATCATTTCTAAACATTGAATGGCAATCTTACTTTCAACCTGCCCATTTTGGAACATATACAAAGTGAGCAGCCTAAAAGAAACATAAAACACTGTTGGGAATGTTGCAATTTCTGTTCACCACCTTTATGTAACTCAGTTGGCAAGGGACTCTCCTAAAGGCGGGGATGGAGTGCATTAAATACAATCATCATTGTTTTCCAGAAAACATCTCTCCCATTGGGAGCTCACTTAAAGGGACTGTTGGCTTTTTTGTACAATGTATCAAGACATGGGACAGTCACCAAATAGCTACCTGCAATAGCATACAATGTTATACCACAGATACTTCTTTTCCTCTGCTCTTCCTCTAATTTCGTAATCATTATTAATTCAATTCATTATTATGCAATCATGAAAATCACTTCTAACCCATACCACTTGGAAAAATGTGAATTCCATTACTAAGTATCTCCAGTTTTGATTCTCAGATTCACTTTGGTTTAGACATTGCATGTGTAAGTCACATGAACAATTCTAAAATGAATACATATTAATAGGTTTTTGTTTCTAGGAAAGAAAAATACATAAATCTTCTTGGTATTACAGACTGCTACTTGTTAAAACAAGTTCTGCGGTATCTGCTTAACAATAATGAATCCCTTATGTATTGGTTCCCCTTGAGATCAAATGACCCTCCCCCTCCCCAGTTCTTGCCTAAAATATAATACACAGCTCCGCACTGTAGATCAAGAAGTAGGACACATCCTTTCAATAAGTAATACTGTAACTCTGAAAATACATATTTAGGGAAATATCAGACACTTCAAAATAAATGGAAGGATCCTAAGGACCGGCTAGAACACTGCTACTGTATTTTATTTTATTTTTTTTAATTTGATTTATATGCCGCCCTTCTCCGGAGACTCAGGGCGGCTTACAATGTGCTCAGCAATAGCCTTCATCCTTTTGTATATTTTATACAAAGTCAGCTTATTGCCCCCACAAATGGGTCCTCAATTTACCTACCTTAGAAAGGATGGAAGGCTGAGTCAACCTTGAGCCTGGTAAGAGTCGAACCTGCAGTAATTGCAGGCAGCTGGTCTTAATAACCAGCTTAATAACAGGGTGCCTTAGACCACTGTACTAACAACAGTTCAAGCACCAAAATAAAACAAAACCATAAGGAAGCACTAATATAATTCATAATTTATGAAACTGCTGTGGGTCACTTGCACATTATTCAAATGGATTACACAAACGTAGCTGGCATGGCCACTATTATGAGGGCTGCACTGAACTTTCACGGGCCACAACAGGTGAAACCTCTTGCTCGTATGTTTTCCAGAGGGTGCCTCACTGAACAGGAACAAGGAACCAGGCCATTAGATGCAGGTCTCACATCCTGATGCACTGCAATTCAGGCACCAAGAACCATTCCCTGCTGAATTAAATGACACAAAATCACTGTTACCTGGGCAGATTGGCAAGGATGACATACAAGAGGCAGAGATGCCCTATTTATGCCAGGTTAGCCGTTTCTCCCAGCTTCCCTCTTCCACAGCCATGGGAATATGCGTGCAACCCACCTGCATATCTTGTAGGTCACTGCACGCAAACACGCAAACACACAACACACAAGACAACACAACACACACACAGGGGGCCACCCGCCCACCTACCTAGCTTGGCCATGCACCAAACAAAAAAGAGGATCCCGCAGACGAAGCCCAGCTGTTGCAGCAGCATCTCCCGCCTCTTGCGAACTTTCCTCAGTTTGGCGAGCGGCGGCTTCGAAGGGACGCTCGGCGGCGGGACCTCCAGCCCCATGGCGAGCCGGGACGGCTGAGGACGCTCTTGCAGGGGGGCGGGGGGGGGGCTGCGGGAAGGCGAGAAGGAGGCGAGGCGGGTCCTCGCGACTTGGCCGGAGGGGCTCACTCGGAGGGGATCCCCGCGGAGGGTTTCATAACCACGGCCAAGGACGACGCGCACCTCCGAGAAAGGGAGGGAATCCCGCGAGAGGGGACCGGCAGCCGCGGCCAAAGCCTCCCCTGGCGGCGGGGGCGGCTTTCTCCGCCCGCGATCTTCGCTCGGGCCGAGCCCCCTCAGCCTCGCCGCCACCGGGCAGCGCGAGGGAACGGTCGCGCCCCTGCAGGCGGAGGGCAAAACCGAGCCAACAATCCCCGCCGGCGGCAGAGATGTAGCTGGAAAGGCGGCATCCGAGGGCGCCGAGCTCCGGCAGCGGAACAGGCTCCAGGCGCGCCCGGGCGACTGAGGAAGAAAGCGAGCGATTAAGGCGGCGGCGGCGGCGGCGGGGGGAGCCCGGCTCCCTTCAGCATCCCACTGGAAAGTTTCAGATCCCCTTCCCGTCCTTCCCTCCGCCGTTGCCGGGGGCAGCCAAGGCGGCGGAACCCGCGATCCTCGTCGCTGGAAGCGGCAGCAGCCTCAGCAGCAGCAGCAGCAGCAGCATCTCCCCTGCCTCGAATCGGACGCTCAAGTGCACCGTCCGCCCACGCCGCGCCTGCCTTTGATCGGCGTTCCCGGGAAGGCAAGCGGAGCAAAATCCAGCGCGGCGTTTTCCTGCGTGGAAATTGCCCCGGCGCAACCTTCGCCCGCCGTTCGATTCCCGGGCAACTTTCCCAACCTGAGCACCTGAGTCCTCCCAAACCCCCCCCCCCCCCCCCGCAAATCCCCTTGCCCCCCCCCCCCCCCCCCCCCCCGCGGGCCGTTATCTCCTTGATTACAACATTATATGATCCGTGTGGTTTTCCCCGCCGTGGCCAGGCGGGTGCATGGAGATTAACTGGCTAAATTAATCTTTTCCCCTAAATAGCGCAGGCATTATCCCTTCTTCGTTTAGCGCCAGGCAGGGGCTCTGCACGCGCTGATGAAGCGTGCAAAGAGCATGTGCTCGTGAGACGGCGCCGGAGTTATATTCAGAATCAACGCGCAGCCTACTTTGCTCCATCCAAGCCAAAGGACCGGAGTTAGGATTGTACAGTACTCGGAAGCGGTCAGAGACGTTGCCTTATCTCGGGAATGGTTAGAGGTTTTCAGACGATTCTTGCAGATAATAAGACGTAATAAAAGTAAAGCCAGGAAGGGGTGAGAATTGGGTGAAGTTGCTGGAGAAAACGACATGTAATTGAAACATAATTAGAATCTAATTGTTGTGTTCATTAATAATTAGGAGCACGGATTCCTATGATCCATTCCCTCTTTTGCCGTATATGTGGCCCAGACTGAACATGCTGTTGGCGGAAAGAATGCAACGGAAATCATAGCAAATTTAATTTTATTATTTCAGGAATGCGGTAAACTTTCACAAAGGATATACTTGTAGTCATTAGAAACCATGCTATGAAAATATTAAAAACTTGACTGCCTTGATACTAATGTTATGTTTATCATTTACAGTGTATGTTAAATCCGATATAGAATTTTAACAAAGGTTTCTGCTGTCACCAAGTTTTTTTAAAAAAAACCACCTGCCAAAAGGAAGACTGACATTATTATTCTTGCTGGGATGAAAACTCTAAATGGCTAATCAAAGTTTTGTTGTTCAGTGTTAGATGTAGCAAATTCTTTAATAAAAATATCAAAACTGAAATAATTTCTTATCACTAACTGCAAGATAAGAGGCGACCCAGGAGCAATCTTCCCCAGTTCTGCAGATTTATAAAGCTGAGATGCTTTAGAGTTCAAGTTTGAATCCAGACCCAGGTTTTGTTTTTGTTTTTTTGCTTTAATTTATATGCCGCCCTTCTCCGGAGACTCAGGGCGGCTTACAATGCGTTAAGCAATAGCCTTCATACTTTTGTATATTTATTCAAAGTCAGCTTATTGCCCCCACAATCTGGGTCCTCATTTCACCTACCTTTGAAAGGATGGAAGGCTAAGTCAACCTTGAGCCTGGTGGGATTTGAACTTGCAGTAATTGCAAGCAGCAGATGTTAATAACAGTTAATAATAGTGCATTAGTCCACTGTGCTACCAAGGCTCCTCCGGGTAGTTCCCGGTAGTTAAAGACATTTTGCATATGCTCACTGCCACTTCATTTTTCCTGAGCTGAATTCTGGCATTGAAAACTGATTCTGAAAATGACCTTTGGCTCTTAATCAGCATTGCTTTTTATGGAGAGAATAGCCCCAGTATTAGTGCCATTTAGCAGCTTAAGATGATGCCAGCGTCGTGACATATTTTTGCTGTATCCTTTTGGATGCATTTGAAGAAGCATTACCCAGATGCAAGCTTTTAAGCGCATGGGCACATTTAAGTAGGGCATCTCAGAGTGCCTGTGCCAGGAAATGATACCTACCATCAGCCTATCCTTGGGTGGAAGCCTGACCTTATTTGGTCTGAGTGGGTTAATAAACCCATGTGTGAAAGTTTAATAAAGAATTACGTGTTTTAAGTATTTTGAGGAGTGCTTTCTAGTCACTTGTAAATAACTTTATCAAGTTATTGTACCCCTAATTATTTCAGATACCCACTTTTAATGAGCTTCTATGAACAAGAGATTAGGAGAAAGAACAAGAATGCCTCGAATTGAAAGATGCCCTAGTATTTGTGGACATAGAGAAGAGAGTCACGTTAAAGAAGAGAGTCACGTTAGTCTACGATAGCCCCAAATCATCACCTTGTCATACTAACTTATGAAAAGGCATAAGCATCTGAGGAGCATCTGTAGCTCGCAAAAGCTTATCTCTTTTCATACTATGTAATAGTATTACATACTATGTAATAGTATGAAAAGATGCTATTAAACCCATTTTTCCAGTAGTTATTGAAGAACCTGAAGCTCTGTAGAAACGATCACCATCTAAAACTACGGAAGACCATATAAATCAACGATAGCGATGCTTAGTTTGATTAAACAGACTTGAAGAATCTTGATGCCACAGATGCATTTTGTTCAGCCCCAGCATTTTAAGCAGAATACATTCTCAGAAATATGGCTTTAACACCTGACTGTGTGCCAAATGAACTCTAAGGCCTGATTGAATCATGTTGATATCCATTTTGCTTAATGTAAAAATACCTGCAATAAGCTGCTTTGCAGTATCCAAATAATGCGGTGCTCAAACATCCTGGTTGAAATCAATTATTCCCTGCACCAACAAGAGAAAGCAAAATGATGGACCACAGTGCACTCTTGAATAAGAGAAACAGCCAGATGTCCTGAGGCTGAGGAGAAGTAGGTTCCCTGCCCTGTTGGCTGGCTCTCTTTCTTGTTGGTTGTGTCATTTAAATACTGAAAGCCCTAAATATTGAGGAACAGATGGCTTTATATTTCACCTTTCTCAGAAATGTTTGAGCCATGTCACCATGGAAACTCGGATGAGGCAGAAGAACATGAAAGCACCGTATTCCATGTGAAAATACCTAGAGGTGCTCTGGACTAACATCAGCTGGGAAATAAATTATTATGTAATTGTGCTGTCAATTATTTTATTTTTGTCACAAAAAACTTCTCTATGAATCAGTTGCTCGGGATAGAAAAAATATCTTCAACAGAAGAGACTGTATTGCTCCTGAGAAATAAAGTACAGTAACAAAAATCTACAATTTTGGTTATATTAAAAATACATTTCCATACTTCTTTTTGTCAATCTGCAGGAATTTGAAGGCAAGGAATTTGAAGGCAAGTTTTCCATAACAGCTGGAGAATGAGAAAGCATGGTTCTGTAGGAAGTTAGCACCCACCCCTCTCCTAGAAGAATGAAATATTTTAGGAAATATTAAAAAAGGCAGAATATTATATTTCCCTGGATGAGAAATGGAGAAACATCTTTTAAAGACAAAGCAGCTTTCTGCCTCCCCCCACCTTTGTCAAGGGGCCATTAAGGCCTCGGCTAAGCTCACTCATTCCCCCCACCTTTGTCAATGGACCATCATCTGCAACACAATAGGACCCATCTAGCAACAGAAACTTACCACATGGCACCTGGGAAGATTATATCAGCCAGCAAGGCTAGCTAAAACCCACACCCCCTGGGAATCTGACAACCAATCAGGATACTCTTCCTGTGCCCCAGGAAGTTCAAAGCATGGGCATAAAACCAAGGCACGCTCAGCATCTCAGCCCTTTTTCTGTTCAGGAACTCAAACCATGTGATCCTGTCCACCATTAAACCATATTTCCAAGCATTTTCTATGTCTCCAGTGTGTTTTTCCCCACTTGGAACTGAACCCAGATGGATATTTCTTCCAACAATTCCATGAGAAATTATCTTGATTCTGGTTTGATACTTAGAGCATAATTGGAATCAGAAAGCAAGATTACAAAAAGATAATAATACACTGGATGTATTCACACATCATATAAAGTTAATGATGGCTTTTACAATGGTCTATCAAATAACTCCCGATGATTGGGTTCATACATCGTATTTAGCTGTAAATCAGGGGTGAAATCCAGCAGGTTCTGACAGGTTCTGGAGAACCGGTAGCAGACATTTTGAGCAGTTTGGAGAACCAGTAACGGAAATTTTGAGTAGTTTGGAGAACCGGCAAATACCACCTCTGGCTGGCCCCAGAGTGGAGAGGAAATGGGGATTTTGCAGTATCCTTCCCCTGCAACGCCCACCAAGCCACACTCACCAAGCCTTACTGGGTCCACCAAGCCACGCTCACAGAACCAGTAGGCAATTTGGATTAAAACAATTTGGATTTCACCAGTGCTGTACATCTTAGTTTACAAATTGCAAGTAGCTAGTCATATACAGTCAAAAACACCAAAATAAAGCAGAACCAAAAAACCAAACCCACTGCATAATTTGATTTAGGAATTTAATCATTAAGTTCCAGAGGGTGGGGGGAGAGGATATATTTTCTTTGTGTATGGATTTTGATAATTTCTGTTAATATAGTAGAGGCCAGAGGCCTCTTACAAGCTAAGAGGCCCAAGAGGTAGAGAAAGAGGCCTGAGAGGAAAGTAGAGAAAGAGACCCAAGAGGCCCCAGCCGTAGACAAGCAGTGAAGCTGGGGAGAGTAGGGAGTAAGCTGGGGAGTCCCCACAATGCAAAAATAAGCGGCAAGCAGCAAGACTAACAAACAGCCGCAGCAAAGCCGGGGAGCAAGTCTGGTTAGCTACTACAAAGGGAAGTCAATCTCCCAAAGACCAACAAGGTGAGCTAGCAGAGGTTGAAGCTGCCACTAGCTGCACATGCACATGAGCATGCGAGACGAACTGGGAGGAAGGGAAATCAACCATCCGGCTGCCCAGTGAAATCCAGCAAGCAAGAAGTGCTCCTTTGCAAAGTTAAAACCTGCAAGAAACACTGTGCAAACCCGCCACGTCAGGCAAACACTCTACTGCCAAACCAGCACCCAAAAAGAAGGAGATTGCTACTAATGAGCCATACAACTCCTGCATGTGCTTCATCTGTACAGAAGCATTAGAGGAGGATGAGAGTACCATGAAGTGCTCCCTATGTGATACGTATGCTCACCACAAGTGCTTGGGGTTAACAAAAGGCGTAGCCCAGTTCCTGCAATCAGCTTCACTTAAAACCTCCCAGTTTGTATTTCCACTATTCTGCCCATCATATAAGCCCAGACTGGACAAATTTATTGTTCTACCCAAACAGGTGGACACCATAGAAGTGCGATTAGCATCCCTTGAAGAAAAAGAAAAAATGCAGAAAAGCGAAGCACTAATATCCCATAA